AGATGAAGCAACTATTATGATAACCTGAGCCACTCTAACTAGAAGCTTTATCAAAAAGGAAAGTTTCAAGCCTACTAGAAGAAGACCAGATGAGCTGATAATATAGAATACATAAGTATAAGTACATGATTTAAAACCTTTTTTGAACCTTAATACTTCAAGACAAACAGTATCCAACATCCAGAGAGATACTGTAGCTAATGTATGGGGAGAGGTGGTTTAGTGGTTGAATTAGGGTGAAAGGCCCTGTTCACTGGTTCCAATTCCACAGAATGATACTTTAGCCCCCGGCCAGGACTCTAAGCCCCAGATTGCTCTGCAAGGCCTGCTGCCCCTTGACATCTTTAGGCTGATTTATACCCCGAAACCAGGTCGTCTGCATGCAATGCAAATATGCCCCCACCCCTGCCGCAGACACTCTGCTGTACCTCTCCAAAATTATAGGTGACCGCGGACAGGAGGCCTCTGATTGGTCAAGTCTACATCCACTCTACACTATCTGTATTTCTTGTTTGGTTCCTTACTGGCTTGTTTTGTTTGTCTGACCGCCATTGTGGAAAACGACTGGTGAAGATGGAGCAGCTAGCAGAGCGAGGTGTGTGAGAACGCTGGTAGCCCTTTTTCCACCTGGATCCCCGCTCTTTTTGGCCCTCATGTCCCTCCATTGTCGCACAAACTTGCCCCCACTTCCTCACAGCCTCGGCCGTATCTAGACCCATAGCTAGTTCCTGATTGGCCCTCTGGCGTTGTGGCGTGGAATAACATGGCGCAGACCACGCTTCAATAATGGGCAGAAATCAAAAATGTCTGCAACAAGCTCACTGCGACACACTGCAGTATAACCAGGCCTTTAGGTCCAGATTGCTCTGTAGGGGCCGCTGCCCCCTGACATCTTTAGTCCTAGGCCCATTTCGGGGGGCTTCAGCTCCCTCAAAATGTTGTCAATCCCCTCCAACCCACCTAACTTGAACCTTCTCTAATCAGCTTTTAACCACATTCAATGAGACAACGTAGTTACTTTTGG